ATGTCTTTCAGTGAGTTAAATGTTTCATTGGTAACAAAATTTATACATCCGTCACGCTTTACTAATTAAACTTTAAAGTATTTCCGAGCAAGCACTAAAATTTAATACGTTATATTGCATCACTCACTCACCATGTTTCATTAGTAACTAAACTTTAAAACGCTTTTGAGTGATTACTGAAATCAGTAACAAACGCAGATATTTCAAATAAGAAAGGGACAATCAAACTTGTGAAAAAGTTGTGAAAAATATAAAAAAACATTTGATATTTAATTACAATTGTTCTCTAGATATTTCCATACTTTGATAAAGTTCCAGAATTGATACAAAGAATCAATTCAAACAAGAAAATGCAAATTTACATTAAAGAATGTGTCCATAATTGATACAAACAATTAATAAAACAATCAATTTAAGTAATCTGCTGGAAAAATATATAATCAATATTCAACACTAATAATCAATACAAATAAATACAATTCAATAAATGTAAGTCAAATTAGAAAGAATCATTCTAGACCTACTCTATATATATAATTCGAAAATCGTTACATAAAACATAAATCATTCTAGATCAATTTGATAAAATTCAATATACGAAATTCAAAAATCATTCTTGAATATAAATCGGATAGAATGAAAATAAATTATAAATGTAATCCGAATCTCTTTTTCTCCACCACTTCGAATTTTGGTCAAAGAAAATAATAATAATTTGTAATTATAAGTTAATGCCGGGGCCAACTGGTTACCTTTCAATTTTCAAAAGGTAAATCAACTTAAGTTGACTGTATCTGGAGGTTCAACGAGTGGAGGTGGCGTCGAAATTGTAGTGACAAACGACGCTAACGATATCATAATGACAGTCACTTTGCTGTAGTTTTAGAGCAAATTGGTAGCCAAAAAAATACAAATGTATGTTCTAATTAGTTGAAAATTTGATCGGAAAGTGAAGATTTGTAGTACATATGGTAGTCATGGAAAAATTATAGATAAACTTTGAAGAATCAAAATGGTTAGAGTTTTGGTAAAAAGTAGTTTTACTAATAGTCAGTGACTGTAGTAATCATTTTCACTTGTCAGTTTGTTATTTGAGGCATTAGCTTTTTATTTCAAGCAATAGACAATAACAACTTATCATATAGGATGATTATTATATTCGCTACCTATAAATATTATTATTCTTTGATAAAAAGGATGAGGGATAGAATTGCGCGAGGGAGAGGGAGAAAAAGGCTCACATATGTTATGATTTTGTCAAAAAATTATAAACAACAAATAAAATTGCTCAAAAGTTGAGATTCATGAGACCCTTCATGTCCCACTGAGCGTCCGTCGTTACTGAAATTTAATAGATTGCACTCCATCACCAACTCATAATTTCATTTCCATCAACCTCAACACCATTATGGACTAATTTATAGGTTCCAATATGAGGGCGCTTCAAGGCTGGCAGATTAGAGGTCGTGAGTTCGATTCCTAGAAGGTTCTTGGAAGACAGATATTCTTTTGGAAGGCAGGATTTATCCTGGAAGGTAGGAGCTCTACTGGAAGGTAAGGTGTAAAGATGGGAAAAAATGACTTGCTTGACACTTTGGCAGATCGGTTGGGAGGCTCTTGAACACTGGTCAGTTTGGGGCACAACTTGCGGTTTAACCTGTCTGCTGCTTGAAGGGCCAAGGTGTAGACTCCAGGATTTAGTCACTGTAAGGTGGATACCTGGATATAAAAAAAAAAAAAAAAAAAATTATAGGTTCCAATAGAAACAGGTTGTGTGGCCAAACACGCTAAGAATGAGCATACAATTCAAATTCCAATATTATCAACAAAAAAGTAAAAAAGAGAAAAAGAAAATCCCAATTTTTTGATGGACATTGGAGGACAAATTATTCATTAAATAATAATTTCAATTATAATAAATTATTTTCGTGTACCAAAAAATTCGTTCACAAAACTGAATCTTATCCTAAACGCGGTCCCAAAGCATGCAGACAATGAAGGGGCAAAGAAAAGTTGTCTAAATTGATTTGTGGCTCACCTTTCATACACCTATTAGTGCATTTATGATATCTCCCTTGTTTTTTTCCTTGCCATAAAAAACAAACTCATGGAAAAAGTTAGAGATGACAAAATAATTCGCTCATTCGAAATTGTCTAACGTGATTTGTGGCTCACCTTTCATACCCTATTGGTGCATTTATGATATCTCCCTTGTTTTTTCCTCCTTGCCATAAAAAACAAACTCATGGAAAAAGTTAGAGATGACAAAATAATTCGCTCATTCGAAATTGTCTAATGTGATTTGTGGCTCACCTTTCATACCCTATAAGTGCATTTATGGATATCTCCCTTGTTTTTTTTTTCCTTGCCATAAAAAGCAAACTTATGGAAAAAGTTAGAGATGACAAAATAATTCGCCCATTCGAAGTCGTCTAACGTGATTTGTGGCTCACCTTTCATACACCTATTAGACTATTAGTGCATTTATGGATATCTCCCTTGTTTTTTTTTCCTTGCCGTAAAAAGCAAACCCATGGAAAAAGTTAGAGATGGCAAAATAATTCGCCTGGTCCCGAATGGGGTAAAAAAAAATCCGCTCCGTGAAGTAATAAAAATAAAATTGTTAGTTTGAGCATTATTTGCTTTGAATTTTAAAATTTTGAATTTGTATTTTATTTTCTAATAATAGTATAATTTGAAATTTTGAAAATGTACACACACACATACATATATATATAAAGAAATGGGACAAAGCCACCTCTGAAACCACCTCACTACCATCTCTAAATGAAGTTTGCACACATTTGGTGAGGTGAAAGTTGAGATCATGAGATAAATTATGAGTAGATACATATATAGGTATAAAACGAGATAGATTATGTTATCTATTGTTGGAAAGAAAAGAGTCAATTCGAGCCCAGGTCGAATGAGGAAGATTTCACATAGATACAAAGAGACATATAACATTTAACACCATGTTAACATATTCTCAAAAGAGAAAAAGAAGCAAAGATTGAGTTGGATCAACCAATAGTTAGACTCGATATTGACTGAATCAATCCAAAGCTATAAACATGAACAAGACTTTCCAAATTCAGGTGACTAACACGAAAAGACCATATTGAGCTCGGTTACAGGGGTCGTGGCTCACCCAAGCCGTAGTGGAGGCCTATTGCTAACAAAAGAATAATTTCATAGGTACAAGAAATTATTGACAGAAATAATATATGTGCTGTGTTGGCAGTATTTTGTATAGTAAATTTTTGTGTTTGTTGTGTCAAAAATCAATGACAATCTGTCAAGTGTTTCTCAGTAAAAATTCTGTCTGTCAATTTTTTCTGTACTTGTAACAAAACTGTTGACAAAATAACGAAACAAATGTAATATTTTTTTTTCCAGAAGTTATAATGGTATGACCTAACATTTGTCATGTTGAGTTTTGAACTTGGAGAGTGCCCTATTATTACGCTATAAATTTGCATGGATAATGCTGCTTCTACATCTCAAGATGTCCACACAGGTTTATCCCTCACATGGAAGGGGTCCACTTATAATTTATTGTATGCGAGTCTTCTCTATGTAAAGGGGTGTAAACCTATATATACACCATTATGTACATATTACATTACCCAATTTGTATCAAGTATAGAGTTGACGATGACTCGACGCACGTCCCAGATTGGGTTATAGCGATTTGGAACTATTTGATTAACACATGAAATTTAGAATGCATTTGATTGTCAATATTTTTGATGAATAATATCATTTTTTTTACCAAAATTCTTACTTTTGTGCCGTTTGATTAGTATTCTCGTTCCTTGAAAAATATTTTCCCATTTTTTATCACATGATCATATTTTCCTTAAAAATAAGAAAAATATTTTTTAGGGGGAATATGTTTTTATTTTCCAGGTAATTCTCCCTCTTTTTTTCTCATCTACTAATCAATAAAAAATAGATAAATATAACATTTTCCAGCTCGAAAAATAAATCAATTAAACACATTTAATACACAATTTTCATAAATTCCATGCTTGCAATAAAACAAACCTTTAGACCTGTGCCTTTTAGAATAATACTATAAGTACCAGATTTTTAACAGAATCTGTATAGAAATTTTTATCAGGTTAATTGTACCTTTTAATATATATAATTATTCACTCCAATCCCTTTCTGGTAAAGTACTAGAAGCACGACATATCCTGCTGTTATGCGATTTCCGTTAAATAAAAATAAAAAATAAAAAATAAAAAATTACTTATTGAAGAAGGAAAGGGAAAATTTCATTATAGGTCACTTAATTTACAAGTTTGTTGAAAAATGGCCACTCTAAATAGATTTATTTCAACTTATATTTATATTTCACTTTAATCACCTTACTTATGTTTTATTTCAATTAACTATTCAGCTTACCCTACGCTTTTGAGTTACGATGAATTCAATATCTATTTCTTGATGCGTTGTTTGTCTAGGTGGCCAAATGTACTCACCTCTGGAAGTTAAGATCCAACTTGCCAGCTTGAATCCTTAATTTATTTACCAATTTTTGAATTGATTTTTCGAAAGTACTTTTATTTAAAAGCTCTTATAATTATCAAAAATATTTTTATAGAATTAATCAAACGAGATTTAAAAAGTAGTTTTTGGGTCTCAAAAGCTCATTTTGTATTTTTAAAAATTATTTCAAACGGGTTCTAAGTCATGTCATGAATTATGTTCACATTGTTATGAATTTTGTAAATTTTTATAATGATTATAGACCAAATGGTTCAGTTAAAAAATGAAATATTAGGCAAATGATGAAATTGACACAAATTCAAGGTTCAAAATTATATCAATTTTCATAATCGTTAAAGACCGAATGGTCAATTGAACAAAAATATTAATACGATAATTGAAGCAAATTAAAATTAAATGACCAACTTGAAAGAACCTATAAATTAGATAACCTCGAATGAAATTTTACCGAGAAAGGAAAGGTGAGAAGTAACTCTCCAGTTCTCTCAGTCTTTACTTCTTCGCTGAAATTCAGATTCTGGAAACTGCAACAAGAAATCTCCTGAAAAAATAAAAAAAATAGAAAATTCGAAAGAAATTTTAATAAATAAGCAGAAAAAGAAAGAGTAATTAACTCACCAGATGCAACCCGTAGGTGGTGGTGGAAGCAGTGAACTGAGTCGAAGCGGTGGCGGTGGACTCGCCCGGTACCGTTCAGCTCCGGCGACCTGGTTAGAAGCCCTACTCGAATCCGACGAAGAACCTTCCGAGGTTGTTTTAGACCCACCTTTATTGTCATCCTCTAAACCGCCAACAGTTCCACCGCACTCCGCCACTGTCACCGGCACCACCACTAGCCGTTTAGACACTGATCTAAGCTTATTGGAAACCCTAAGTGGTGGGCCGTCCCATGGGTTGAGCAATTTTCTGAGGCAAAGCAGTTCTCCGGCGGAGTTTTTATCCCAAATTAATTCCGATGGCTATATTTCGAGTTTTGGGATTCCTGATTATACATCGCCTTCATCAGTAAATGTTTCTTCGGGGAAGTGGGCTTTTGACGCTGAGGATGCAGACAAGAGTACCAAATTATCTTCTTCTTCTTCTCAGCAGGTAACTATTATACTGTTACATCATATTGTTTGCTGAATTTTTTTTTCACTTTCTTTTGTTCACATCTATTTGCAAGTTTTGAAGTAATATTATGAATGAGAAACAATTGAAATTTCAAATATTTGATGTTTTTGTTAAGTTCATTTTCAACCTTTCGGGTTCATATGGAAGTATAGATTCACAATTTCCTCTATCCCCTGATTATGAAGAGATGGAACAGTCTGAGAGCTTTTCAAATAATGAACATAGATGATGTTTGGCCTAGCTTAAAAGCTGAAAAAAGAAGAAGTTAAAAGCCAATTTTTAAGCACTGCCAAATATTCTAATACAGCTAGAAGTTTACTAGGCAAACCAGGGAAGTTGGGGGAATCATGGCAGACAGCACACATTACTGCTATGTACCTGTGACCTTCAGTCGGTATTGAAATGGAAAGAAAAAGCCCCATCCAAACTGTGTGAAGACGCCACTTCGAAATTCAGTAGATTAGTGATGAAAAATGCTAGTTCTTAATCTTTGCTCTGCAAATCCAGGCTTTTCTCCATTTAACATCTTGGCGGTCTCATATCTCCACTCCAATCTTCTGGGACATGCTGCTGACAAAAGATACCTGAACTTTATGCCTTATGAGATATTCAAAATTTTAAACTCAGTTATTTCAGTCAGATATGTGTCACACTGCAGAATGAAGCCACATGCTTACTTAATCCTGATACACTAGAAAAAGGGTAGATGAAAAAAAGAATTTCCAAGTTTAAATTGACCTTTGATAGGAGGTCATCCTTTATACTTTATTAAATTATAAAAGGTCAATTTGACCAAATATTATAAATGGTCTTTCTTCATTTGAACGAAATCCTCATGAGAGGGGATTCTTTTAGTTTCACTGTTGTACGGATATGTGTACGTGTGAAAAGAAGGAATATAATCCATATTTACAATTTTTCCTCCCAGTCACATGGATCTGAAATCATGATGCCTAGTGAAGTTGTTGTCATGTGTAAATGACTTATGGTTTTCTATAACTACAACTATGATTATGTACATGTTCATAGGTATGCATAACAGCTTGATGAAAATTATAAACTTGTTTAATCCACAATGATTACTTTGGTTTCTCTTCGTGCGTGTATGATAGTCTATTCATTTAATTGAACTTCATTTTTTGTTTTTGGGATGTGTAGAGAGGAGAGAAAGGTGGGCTTTTACGCAGTGGCCTGAGTGGGTCATTTGATGCTGAAACAGAAAAGCTTTTGGAGGACTCTGTCATGTGTAGGACTCGAGCAAAGCGTGGCTGTGCTACCCATCCACGCAGCATTGCCGAGAGGGTATAATGTTTTTCCTTTTTGGTTGTTAGCCATATTGTCAATTGATTCTTCAAGCTGAAATATTCTCAATGTTTCTTTTTTCCTTTGGCAATCAGGTGCGGAGAACACGAATTAGTGACCGCATAAGGAAGCTTCAAGAACTTGTTCCCAATATGGATAAGGTAAATTAAATATGCAATCTTCTTGTATTCCATTTTGATTTGAACTTATCAATAAATCTTGGAGATAAAATGACTCTAGTATTGGTTATGGATTGATTGTTTTTCTTTGATGATATATTGATATTTACATTCTCTAAAATATTTTGCCACATATGTTCTGGCAAAAATCAAGCAAAGCAAAGCTATTGAAAGTTTCAATTGACCAACAATTCTTCCCCTTCCTGCATTGAATATCTGATATGAACTAGTAATTTAAACTCGAGACTTTTTGGCCACAGTAATCAAAATAAAGAAGATTACTTATGAAAGAAACCTGAGAATCTAAGGCCTAAACTTTTTAGAATGATGATAATGGAATCTCAACATTAGAAGTTGTACCATTGCAGATAAAAAATTTGATCAACTACTAGTAGTTTAGATTGAGATATTAGATAAATCTTATATGCATTATCATAATGATCCGAGAGGACTTTGAAATGCACTAATTGAGAACTTCCTACTTCATCTTGGATTGACTTTTAATAGATCTGCATGCTAATCCCAATTAGAGGACCCCAAAATTGCAGAGAAACCATTAGTGATAAGGACATTATGTAAATATTTGAAAAAATTAATGACATAAAACTATGCTATAATATGTATGTAAGAAGTCTGCTCAGAATTCTAAAAATCTCTTTTTGTAGTTATTTAGGGCCTGTTTGATATAAACCAATTCCATGGAAATTTTCCACCAAAATGTCTTGTTTGATTGACTAAATTTTCTATGGAATTGGTTTTTCACCCAAATGTCTTGTTTGATTGACAAAATTTTCTATGGAATTGGTTTTTCGCCCTACGCCCACCCCCCCGACCCTTTTTCTTGGTTTTTAAGGAATTTGTTTTCTTTTGATTTTGGTGGAAAAGTGTTTTCCAGCTTTCTTTTCTTTTTTTTCATAAAATTTTTTTTTAAAGTTTTATTTTCGGCAATGGAAAGAAATTTTATTCAAAATTGTAATAAATTCTTGACCATTTTCATGGAGAACAAAACCAAACGAATATCAAAAGATTCAAAATTTTAACATTTTTCAGGTGAAAAATTATACCTATAAAAAACATTGAATTGATAATTTCCAGTAAAAACAAGTTTTAGGCAATTCAATTCTCTGAAATTTGTTTTCTTTCCACTCAAATTTCATTCTTACAATCAAATTGACCCTTAGTCTAAAACTTTTTTTTGCCTGCATCTCTCTCTCTCTCTCTCTCTCTCTCTCTCTATATATATATATATATATATATATATATATATATATCACACACACATGCAAAATCTGACTCTGATTCTGATTCTGAAATGGAATAGATTTTTGCTGTTATACTTAGAGAGTTATAGTGTCACATATCTAATGGTTTGGTTATGCTGGAAACTTATAATATGAGCCAGGGCCTTCTTTTCAAACTATAATTGCATTCCGGTATGGCCTTGCTCTCATAGAAGTCTAGCTTTTGATCCCTTCCAAATTAACCATGTAAAGCGTTTATACTAAACGTAAGGATTCATAGACCTAAATTTTTTGAGATCATATCTAACTCCTACACATAACAAGCAGGTATCATCTATAAATATAGGAGAAGGTGGGATGTAAAGACATGAAATAGAATATTTATGATATGCAGTGGAGTTTCTGATTTAGTTGTGTTTTACTTTATTATTTTTATTCATCTTGACATGTAAAAATATCTTTGCTTGTTTGAGCAAATGTTACAATTTTATTGTAACTGTTTTGGTGCTTTTGCTTTGGTGTGTGGGGTGAACTTGTGTGGTTTGGAGGATCTTGTCATACCCAAGTTGATGTATGGGCTCATATGAATAATGAATAATACACTCTCTAATACTCGGACTTTTTGAAATGGTAGGAGTACCCGTTTCGGACACGATTTGACATGGGTACGGGTATGAGATATGTGTCGGATCCTCCAAATTTGAACCATACACTTCGTCATTTTTGCCTTTTCTTCTTTCTTATAATTTCCCTTTTCTTCTTTCCCATTTTTGCTCTCTATAAACCTAGTGTCGTCGTCTTCGAGAGGGTGGAGAAGGGCGACAGTGCTAAGTTTTCCTTTCTTTTTCATTTTCTTCTTTTTTCCTTCTGTCTCTCTCTGTAATGGTGGTTTAGGATTTTATTTGTATAAAATGAAAATGGGTTCCATGTAGTGATACTTAGTGTTCCACTTAGTTCAAATTGTAATCAAGTCCCCCATTTTCTATTTTATATAATATTTAGTAATTCTCATAATTGAAAACTAAATTCAAAAATTCTATTTTTTCGTCATAACCCCTCATTCAATACTCATTTCTTTTTTTGTGAATAATTTATTTGGCCTATTCAAAATGATATCGTGGATTAGTAAAAAAATTGAAGTTCGAAAGACGTAACCATGTCCGAAATTTGGACTATTTTTAGCCATGTCCACGTATCTCATATTTTAAAAAATAAAAGATCTGACACTTAGATACGTACCCGCACTCGATACCAATACCCGAGAGCATCACAAAATACACTGAGTTTTGCTTGTGGTTACCCGAGAGCGTCACAAAATACACGAGTTTTGCTTGTGGTTATATTGATGGTTTCTGCATATACTTACTCATTGACTTTTTGCATTTCCATAGAAATATCAGGTTTAACATGATAGTTTCTAATATTCTTTTTAAACTGATGCTTTTTATTGCAATAGTCTTAGACCTTTTTGGCCTTTTACAGTTGTATAGGCCAGACAAACTGTTACGTACAATTTTTGTCCTGAATACAACCTATTCTTTTTCTAGGTTCTTAATGATGAGTTGTCCCATGCATACATTTTAGTTTTCCATTTATTTGGTGATTTGCTTTGTCGCTATTGCTTCATATGTGTACTGTACTTCATGACTTTGACATGGAAAACTTTTGCTTTTGTTTATGCAGCAAACTAACACAGCTGACATGTTAGATGAAGCTGTAGCATATGTCAAGTTCTTGCAAAACCAGATCCAGGTTCTTTGAGTTGAACTCAATAATTTATTTATTTATATTAAATTTTTTTTCCCCATCTGTTGTTATCCAACTTGAGTCGGGAAGCTCCTTCTATTTATGATAAGGTGAAAGAAATGTTGACATCTTCTAGATTGAAATACCCTACAAACTGAGAATGTTATAATCCAGGGTGGCAAATGAAAAGAGATTTTGCCCCCATTTGAGATCCATTATAATTAGTTTTTGGAAAAAAAAGTATTTTATAATAGTGATTTTTTAAAGAATACGTGGTTAAAAAAGGAGGAATAATTTTATGCTTACGTGTAATATTATTTTATTGAAGAATATGTGGTTGAAAAGAAGAGAGAAAAATGCATTTTGGTATTAATGGAGACCAAGCAATGGCTTTTCAGTTAGCCAAGCTTGTTATATTTGTATATGATATAATTTATGTAATGAAACTGGGTTCATGTTTTATTTAGCTTTTGTTTTGAGCTCCATTATTTAAAAACTCATTTTCAATAACATATTTTGCTTATAAAATAATTTTACACGTAAATCCAAGCATTTTCCCTACTTTTAAGCACATTCTCCCAAAAAAAAAAATCACAGTTATAAAATCTATTTTCACAAAAAGTAAGGCTCAAACAAACCTTTAGTATGTGCTGATGAATCACATTATCTTGCTTGAAGTGATCAAATGCTGCATTCATCATTCATAATTTTAGATTGAAGAAGCAGTAGAAAGCTTATTTTTGAACTCGAGTCAATGGGGAGCCAACTTGAAAATATCCCCGTTTGGCCCCAATTTTTTGAAATGAAAATGGGTGGAATAGTGTTTTTTTTGAATAATAAGTGGTTGAAAAGAAGGAAAAGTTCTAGGTTTATGTGGTATATTAATTTATGGAAGATTGTGTGGTTGAAAATAGGAGAGAGGAAAATGAAATGGAATTTAATGGGGTCTAAACGGGGGCATTTTTTATTATGAATATTATTCCCCAGACTTGTCCACCATGAAGACTGAGAAAAATGTTAATAAGCATGTTTTGCTAAGCTTAAAAGGAAGTAAAAATTACTCGTCCTTTTTGACAAATGTTATTTTAAAATTTTTATTTTAACTGATAAAACTCGCTTTACTTGAAAATTGCCCTCCGGTCGTACTCGAGTGACCTAGGGATGGAGCAATTCTTGGAATGCTACAAATGAACTTAGCCTTTGTTCTGGATTTATTTTCTGTTACTTAAATTTTTCTTTTCAAGAAATAAGTGGTGCATAAATGGATAGTACTTGTGTGTTCTGTGGTTAAAATTAATCTTTGACTTTGAAATGTAAAATTCGAGGAAAGGAAAACAAAATCCAAACAAAGGCTTAAGATTAGCCAAGCAAGGACAATTACACTTCCATTAGACTGCTTGGTTGACGAAATTTTTACCTTCTGTTCTCCTTAATTGATCTTCTTCTCTTTCAGCACAGTTGACCGCTTTGAAAAACTGAACACCTTTAGCTATTGATTTATGAATGTGAGAGTGATTGACCAAAAAAGGGGAAAAAAACTGAAACATATGCTGAACATGAAATTAGATTGTCCGAGTTTGATTTTATAATTCTTTTCTTGAAAGAAAGGTGGCTTGAAGTAATAAATAAGCGATGGCAGTCAGTGATCGGTACGAATAAAAAAGTTATATTTTCCATCTTTGATTAGTATTATGCGATTGATTGTTACATAACTTAATGGTGCAGGAACTCCTGGAGCATCAAAAGAACTGCAAATGCTCAATACAAGATTGAAGGGAGGAATGAGCAGGAAGATGGAATTCACATGCATGCAATTAATTGTCGGTATCTTTCCCGTTCCTCTGAATTGTTATGTGTAGATGTTTGCTCTTTAAAAGAGCATTCTTGTTGTAGCATCAGAAATTATCAGTTACTGCTTCTAGCATGCTCTTTGTTGTAGTAGTAAAATAATGTGTAAATTAAATCCTTTAAATGCTTTCACCGTAGGAATAATATTTCGAGGCAATATCAGATCTGAACTTATAGCTTTGCCTGTTATTATGAGTTCAAGAGTTTCTCGCGATTACTTGCTTAGGGATGTATCATGTATTGTACAATTTGTGTTTTTAATTGTTTCTAAGATGAGAGGATTATTATGAAATAAAGGAATTTGTTCATGTATCATTCACATCCCAAGGATTTCGTGTAGTCTATTCCAAACTGAAATGTTCCTTGAAATTCTTGATCCCATTCGACCATTTGTATCTATATCAAAGAAAATGGAAAAGGTTCGAGAACTTTCATGGCCTCTTTTTCCCTGGCTTCTCTTGGTGGTGTCAAAATGATCTGGTTGCCCAGGCCTTGAATGACTTAACCTGTTAAAATAATAGGTTGAAAATAGTAGTTAAAAAGTTTGATTTTGGCCGGTGGATGAGTGATCTGCTTTAATGAACGGGTTGTGTCTGGTTCGATTGTCTAGCCTGACCACTATAAGGGCCGACATAGTTAAAAAAGAATGAAAAGGTGAAAGTCAACTGTAAAGAGCTTTCTTTCATTTTCGATACTATGACTTTCATTTTGAACACTAATAGTGTTACATGATTCTGAATTCGTGTGCCTACGTCCTTGTCATGACATCATGCACATGATGCTGCCAATGTGTGCCTACAGTCTCTTGCCATGACATGACATGATGCTGCTTTTGTGTGCTTAATATCTAGCCGCAGCATGAAAGGATGTGCCTTCATGTGCATACAGAGCTGTTTCTGTGTGCCTAAATCCTTGCCATGACGTGCAAATGATGCTCCCTGACTTGGTATCATGACGTGCTTGAGTTGCTGCCTTCGTGTCTACGTTGCTCATTCGTGTGCTATGTATCTACATTGTTGTCTTTTTGTTATCAGAGGCCGATCTAGGAATTCATCTGAGCTAGGATGATGCTCAACGATCGCTTGTGTGGCGGCCCAATTTATGGGAAATTTTTTGGCTGACAGAGTCAGCATAGGTGACTGCTATGGCTCGTAGTGTGCTGGCTCCGTCACTCTTGTGACACGGTTTTTCTGACTTGGTGCCATGACGTGTCTTAAATGTTGCCTTCGTATTACAAAATACAAGCAAACCAACCCCAAAATAAAAATGTGTTCGGACTCATTGAGGTACATCATCTAGTTTTAACTGTCTAACAAATTGTTCTAAAACAATGGAATTCTATTATGAGTTTGTCTTACGAAGATAAAAGAGCTATACATGAGAAGAGCGAACACCTACTACTTGATCTAAATGAATCCCAAGCTTAGTATTTCGAACATGGGAAATGGCCTGTGTACAGGGAGTTTTGCACAGATGTTCTACAGGTTAGACACATGGGGTGGATCTTATGTGAATATTTTATTGTAATGGACTCCATTGTTGTGAGTATTCAATAAAATATCTGTAAAAAATTTTCCTGTAAGTGTAGCATTACTCTTCGAACATTAAATTATATGTGATCGAGAAAGAAAGATATGTCGTTTACTTTTCATATCAATTTAATTTAGCTAAGCGCAATAAACATGTCATTAAAGTATTAAACCTTCTTCTTATTCTTGGTAATTATTCAAATTTTAATCATATATTAATAACTACAATAAATTAAATTTTATTTTAGATAAAGATTATCTATTTAATGTCAAATAATAAGCATTCACGATTGAGACTAATCTTTAATTTGTCCTGATTTACTGAAGTTCAATTTAGCCTGGAATTTCATAATATTACAACATTTCATCATCTTTCATTCCCTAACTCATGAAAGTTGCTTATCCTTAGCGATTATTTGATTTGTTGCGATATGTATGCCAATAAAGTAATTATTGTCAATTTGGGATAAGAGAAGTGGCAGAGTGACGAAATTTGAAAGTAAAAGTCTGTTAACTAAATTTAAAACTAAAATTCAGTGACTCAATTAAAATTTTATTGAAAATTTAATGACTACAAGTAAAATTTATCTGAAATATTTTGATAGTCTAATGCATAAGAAAACAAAGACGGATGCCACAAGATAGCAGGAAAGGAGAAAATATTATCTGCTGCAGAATATACCCTACATACACTCAACGAAAAAGTTTCAAAAGTTGTATATTCAGACAAAAGATTGAACCCAATTGCTCAGATTCTACTCTGTTGGTGTAATTTATGTGTAAGGGAGTTTGTACCATTTAAGATCGTTGGCAACTTGTTTGTTTCGATCCAAATTTTATACACTATGGGACATATTGATCGTTAGTTGACTCATTTAGAGAGATGGGTCGAGTCTAAACTTGATTTCTTGATATGAACCCTATGAAATGTGAATAATAAGTGTGTAATAGTCGCGAATATTATGAAACGTGTTAATAAAAAGTATGCTCGACTAGACATGATTAAATTATAATAAACCTGAAAATACATTTGTTGGACTTAACGATCACCCCTCGACATAGACATTGTGTCGAGCCTCGTCTTCATTATGAATAGCTCAGCCCACCAAAAATTATTATGCATATTCTGAAAATACTATTGAAAGTTTGACCCTAGTCTTAATGTAGCGGTCAATTCTGTACCGTCTAAATTCTAGGCCCCGTTTGATATCTATTTTTTTTTAAAATGCATTTTTTTCTTTCTTTTTTGTAATCGCACATTTTTTATTAAAATAATATTACACGTAAATAAAAAACTTTTCCTTATTTTTTAACCACACAGTTCCCATCAATTTAATATTCAAAAATGCATTTTTACATAAAAATGTCTCCCAAACACCCTCCAAACATGTAAGGGTCCTCGGCAATTTACATGTACTTCGTGTCATTAATTGAGAAAATAACTTGATTGTTTATATTTATGACCTCAACAACGTAATCTTGTACAGCTGCTTCACAGTCGGGAAAAGAAATATTATTTTGCATTAGGTTTTTGAAATATTGAAATTTGATGTAATATTTGATTTACAAACTAGAAAGTTATGTGAATTCATGTGTCTGACTTTTAGGGGCGGAGCCAGGAATGTACGTTGCGGGGGGCTACGATGCTCGGATTTGGCCACGGGGGGCCAAATTTTTTTTAAAATTTGATGTAATTCAAATATAACAAAAAAAAAAAAAAAAATGAAAAAAAAAGAAGAGAAAATGTTATAAATATAACAAAATCAGGTTGTGGAGATAAATGAGGCTCAAATTCAGGAGATGAATGTCTGATTAGGTGGGTTATTGGGTTTGGAGTCTTTGGACTTTGGAATGGATTCAATGGAAATTATGCAATGACTGAATGGGTTTACGGTCTAGAGGAAATTTCATCCATCACAACATTTTAAATTAATATTCAATTTTTACTTTTCAATTTGATAAATTCCAGAATTATTGGAATATGTATAGTATTTTTGGTTAAAATTAAATTACTTCACTCTATCAGACTGGTCATTATTTCACCGTTGATTACTCTTCATTCCCGCACTATTTATAATTTCCCCAAATTGCTGCTCTAGTTTCATCTCTATAGTTATGAGCCTAAAGTCAATTCAGCAAACCATTTGCAATCGGTAAGATTATCCTCAAATCAAGAGATCACGGGTGATTCCGTTCCAATTTTTGAAGGTTGTAGATCTTGATTTTTATTGCTTCAACATTGTCACTCACTTTCGATTCAAGATTTTCGTTGGTGATTTTGTATGTATGTTCTTCAAGGTACTACAACCCGTTGATTTCCTACCCAAATTCGAAACCTAAAGTTCATGATCATCCCTTTATTTCTTTATTATAATTCATACTCATAATCATTCAAGATTTTTTCTGACAATTCTGTAAGTATGTTCTTCAAATACTCCATCCAGCCATCCAGGTGACTCCCTACGCAGATTTGAAGCCTGAAGATCATTCCTCCCTTTCTTTACCACGATCAGTGGAGACCAACCATGGGCTAATTACAAAATTTGGATCAAAAGTTGATCAATTTAAGTTGGGCTAAAGTGGTTTAGGTAGTGGGCTAAATGTAAATTGGGCTGAGCTATAGTTTTTTTTTCCAAAAAATCTTAACACAAAAAGGGCATTTGGGCAGTAGCTGTACTAGGCTACAGCCCAATAGAGCTACCCCAAATCCGCCCCTGCTGTCTTCTTTCATTATCAAAATATGGAACAAAATCGTGCTACTGAATTCACCATCTTATTTAGGAAAGAGCCTAAGAGCATGTTTGGCGAGGTTTACTAATAAATACTACTTAAAAGTATATTAAGCCCTCGTTTGGTATCAATTTTTCACAAAAAAAAAAAAAAATCAAAATTTTGATCGTTATTTCACTATTTCAACCATCATTTTTCACTTCTTCACTCATAGATAGGACACAATTTTCTCTCTAACGATCAAAAAATCAATTCTCAAAATCGTCACCGAACATGCCTTAACTAGAATTCATCCTTAGATCAGTTTCTAACGAAAGAATGTCTAGATACATATAAGTCCATAGTTCGAGATTAACTTTTTGATAATGTCTACTAAAATTTAACGCAATTAATGAATATTTCCAATAAATTTACTACAACAAATAGTAATTGGAAAAAAAAAAAATTCTCTAGTGAAAAAATAGATTTTATAAAGACCAATTCTATTCACACTAATAAAATGAACTAAAAATTGCATTTAAAGTCCTCAACTATTGCTCATTGTAACATGGAGGATGTTGCACGTACAAGGGCTTGTTTCACAGGCCTTTGCCAAGCAACATACATGGGGTGGGGGCCCCACAATTTTTTTAATCAATGTGGGACCCACCTTGGTATAGTGAGGGGCCTGTGAGGCCCGTGTGAACAGCTGCCTTGTACGTGCAACATTATTCTTGTAACATTTATATTCTTAAAATTTTTTTGTTGTATTTTTCCCCCCCTTCCTTAGTTGCTTCCTAGTTGGCTTAACCACTTTATCTTGGCGAACGGTATACCCTATTTACTCATGGTCACCATCAAATTGTTCATTTTCAGTAGAATCATCATCTTCAATAATAGTTGTATTTTGTGAATATAAAGGATGCATTACACCACATGTAGGTGTCCAAGCCCTCGCTCTAGTAGCTACGGCATCGCGAAACAACTCATCTAATTTGAATGCATGATCTAAGTCCTTCACACGATATTTTGCAGCTTCCGGATATTTTTGTTAAATAATTTAGAATTTTAGTAATATTATATAATTGGGTGTATTATAATTAAATAAAGAAAATTGAAACACTTATTTGTAGTTTTGTAACCCACCATTTATTTGGAGCATCTATAGTTTGCCTTTCCATATCCCAACCAAGTCCAATTTCTCCTCTTAACAATGCATCCCATAGCTGCCACTCTTTCTTTACGACATCCCAATGATTTTTTAGTTGTTTCCTATTATAATCTCTATTTGTTGCTTTGTTAAAGTTCTCAGTATAAAGTTTCCAACCCTCTTTGCTCAAGTGTGTTCCATTTCTGTTACCAGCCCTCACTTGTTCTACAGCTGCATCAACCTAAATCTCATGTGTTCGTGCATCCCAAATTGCTTTTGATTTTCCCTTTATCCCCTCAATTGCCATCTACATTTAAAAATGTTTTATTTACAGTTAATTGTTCCTCAATATTCTTACTTTATAAAATGGCGAATATACCAGAGATCTAATCAGAAAATGTAGAAAAACAGGGACATGAGTATATGCTGTTTAAATCAAAGAAAGATATTGAGGGGCTGTATGGTAGAAATTCTCTCAAAATTATTATCGAAAATCCTACTGTTGTAAAGGTCTGCTGCACAGACTTCAGCCGCAATAATTGACAACAAGTACTGGCAGCCATCATCTCATTATTTCAGTTGCCAAAAATGCACTCATTTAATAATATTTAATGCATTTATTGAGGGGCACTCTCGTTTTTTCGCCAAATAATTTAATTGAATGGTACGAAGGCAGTCAAAAAATGCTGCTACAGTGGGACCCCTTTTCCTGTATAATGTTCGGAATTATAATGAAAATTTTGGGATAATCTCTACCAGACAGCCCCTGAATCTATCATGGCAAAATTACTATAACCATTCATTTCCTTTCTGACAGGTAAATGAATTATGTATTTAGAGTATAATCATAGTATACATTTTGTGTAACTTGTGGGATTAAAAATTCCTTTTTCAAATCAAGTTTAAATTAAATTGACACAGGTAGTTCTTGATCCAAATCTACTTGGATATTAGCAAAAATAATCACACTCAGAAGTCTGTCTTTACTGATTTCATGTTAAATCCATAGTTGCATTCATTTAAAAATGATTTTCCCAACTTCATAGTGTTTTATTTGATATCAAGCCTCAAGTTCTTAAATCGGCTTAACAAAGTTCAAGTTCCCCATGAAAAGGCAACACAAACTAATCTGCTTTCTCACTTTATATGTAAATACACTACACAAGCATTCATTCCTTGAACAAAACTACTCAGCAGCA